TCTAAAACGAGCATGTACTTAAAAATAACATCAGGTGCTGGGATGTTAGCATGTAACATGTTAATTGGCCGTGTTTTGTGCTCTGAAGTAGCTGGAAGATAAAGTTGCTCGTTCATGTTGACACAGGCCAGGTGCGTGACGTCCAGCAAATGCCATTACCCGTCTTCCTCAACAGAGTACAGTGACAATTAGTAAATAACAGCCTCGTTACTTAAAACGAGTAACGAGTAACGTGTTCTCAGAATGTTGCAGCACAGGTATCTCCTCTAAGCCTTCTTTGTTCAAGCTGTTAACATAAATCCTACGTAAACGTACATACACACAAGGATGTGAGGGCATGTTTGGTGTACTGGAAGCTTTGGAAATGCACACGTTTTTGATAAGACCATTTAAAAAAATGCTAGTATTTCAACATGCAGAAAAAGGCTGTAGATCTTTAAAAGACATATCAAACATATCCCCCAAACTCTTTGTCTTATTATTTCCAGCTTCTCCTTCTAACTTGAACACATTGAAAACATTAGTAGGTGGTATCTGCTATCTATTTACCAGTAAGCAAAGACATTTCCAACTGTTTTGATATCAAAATTGTACTCTAATTTACTTGATTTGAAAAAGGAGAACATAAACCAATTGTGTTCAGAAATTTTTCTGACAAAGCTTTGCTTAACTCAGCAGTCATATATTTGGGGATTGTGTAGCTGATTTATGGGTTTAGCTATCTTTTTAATACTTCTTTTTTCAGGCTGAAGCCATTCAACAGACTGCAAGTAATATTACAACATTTGGTAAGAACAGCATCTTGTTTGACTGAATTGGAAAACTTTTAGGACTTTTAACTCCCCTGAGACAGACGGCAGATGCAACTTCTAATGTACCTGCTCACAGTGGTTCTGAATGCCATAATTTATTGCTCAGGCATAATGTTGCCCACATCTTAGAGCACTTTCTTAGAAGTTTCTATTATACTGTAAAAAAAAGCTTAATTATTTTGGCCTTACCTGCTTTTATATTTAGTTTCTATCTTGGTTTCCATTTATTCCTTAAATAACATTCAACTGTGAGTTTGAAATAAATTGTGAAAATACTTCAGTGATTTGTTTTCTACTGTTAAAAGTTACTTACAGACAAAGCATGTGTACATTTGGGTTTGCAGCGTCAAACTGCGAGTAGAGACACATGGAACAGTCCTTGTTACAATTGTTCCAGGTATTTTCAGAATGTCAGTCTTGTGTGTTATTGTTTGGGGTTTGTTTTTAATGAACTCAAATGTCATTGTCAAAGAGTGTACAGCTCAAAAACTGCTATGGGGTTTATTACTTTGAAGGACTCAAACATAAAATGGCTTGAAAAGAACTGTTTAGGAAATATAAATAAAACTTAAAAGTACAGTGGGAAAGCCTTAATACAGTTCTGAAATGCATGTTTTATTATCTTAAATAGTGCATTTTGAGAATATATTTCCATAAACACTCTTGTATGTTACTCAAGGTATCTAACAGATGACATTTGCTTTATTTATTTGTTTTTGCATGTACAGAAAATGTCTAAGCATACAGATTCAACAGCTGAAGTGTTGTTGGAAAAGAAAGGAGGTGCAGGAATAATAACTTTGAATAGACCCAAGGCTCTCAATGCACTAAATCTTTCTATGATCCAACAAATTTATCCACAAATCAAGGTTAGTAGCTCCACTTCTACCCATACACTATACATACGTTATCCAAAACCAATTTGAAAATTCAGTCTGACACTTCTTAGTGCACTGATTTAAAGAATGAAAGTCTGTGTGGGTGCATTGGCCAATAAGCTCAAATTTACAGGATGGGAAAGAACAGACAGTTTCAAGCAAGTTTGACGTGTCGTCTTCTCTAAGAAGCAAGCTGTCAGACAAAGTTAAATTTAACATCTGGATAGATAAGAGACATGCATTATTAAAACCAGGACTGAATTAAAAGCAAGCGGCACTCAGAGTTTGTATGTTCCTTTTGGCAACACCCAGCTAGCCAGTTGGCGTGCACAAATTCCAAGCTATACAGTTGTGTTGCCTCTCGATTGCGTGCATGTTTTGTGGGGTAGCTGCGTGACCGAAGTAAAACATACAAGTCACTAGGAGGCAAGGTGCTGTCAGTGTCATTCATTAAAGTATGGATATATAGGCACTGTTTCTACAAGCTAGTGAAGTAATGTGAAATTTTAAGCATGCAAATAGTCCTTTTTAATTTAATGATAATATTTATCATACACACAAAGTCAAACTTATTAGATACCAGTATTTGTAGGGCAGTTGCCCATCTTTTGGTAGATAGTTTTATGCTTTCTTTGAAAAACATTTAAAGAAAAAAATACTTCACCTGTAATGCTGAGTACCAGGCTTTATTTGAAGCACAACTTTGAAAGATGGCATAACTTTAAGTACAGTGGTTGGTATATGGAAATGTCTTGTCTCTCTTTTATCTGCGTACACTTACTTGAATAAGGGATATATAATCATAGTTTAAGGGGCAGAAAAAGTCTGTAAAAGGTATCTTTTTCTCAATATGGTTGCACCACTGCTGAAGTCTTGTACCAATGTATTTAATTCAGGAATTCCCCCCCCCCCTTAGTCTTTGCACCTAGCAAAATATCTGCACAAAATTTGATTTGATTCAATCCTCAATTACCATGGCTTGCAGTCTTTTTGACAAAATCCATCAACAATTTAAACACTGTTTCCCTTGCCATGCATCTTAGACTTATACAATTTTGATGATTTGGCCTGAAACATTGTTATTATATTTTCCATATTCCCAGCTTTCTGCCCCAGTGTTGTGTTCCCATTGAGATTTATGTCGGGCCCTGTTTTAGGGAGTGCTATCTTTCTTCAGAGATTGGGAGCTCTGCATAGGCGTTTCTCTAAAATACACCAGGCAGCTCTGCTGATCTCTGATGTCAAGACATTTGACTCTCAAACTTCAATTTAAGACAAAGTATTTTAAGTACGGTTTGATTTGCTTTTTGAAAAAAGTAAAATACGAATTATAGACAGTATACAGAGATAGCATTTTTTACACAGATTTTAATCTTACGTGGAAACACTTCTTTTTAGACTTGGGAGCAAGATCCTGAAACTTTTCTAATAATTATAAAGGGAACTGGAGGAAAAGCTTTTTGTGCTGGGGGTGACATCAGAGGTAAGGACTGTAGTCACTTAAACATTTGACATATCTTTGCCAGTTACTACTATGCATTGATTTCCTTTATTTACTGTGACTTGGGTAAATGGAAGCTTGCTAAACAACAGTTGGAGAGATTAGTTGTGCTGACTTCTTACAACACCTTGATATGCAGATGCTATTTAAGTTACTTGTCAGGAAACAGCTGTTGGAACATTGTATAAAAGAGTAAAAATTGGATTTTTATTAATAACTGATAATAGCAGCCAGTCATTCCTGAGAAGAGAGGGTTCTTGTCTCTATGTTCTTCTCAGATTTTCATTGCTGACAACTTCTTTAGAAGAAATTTAAAGGGTCCTAATAGGTAGCTCTGTTACTATTGGATAATTTGTGTCTGATGTTTGACTTGGAGATGCCTAGATACAGAGCTGACAATGGTGATCAATGTATCTGTGACTGGAGACTTCCCACAGTTCATAGTTACAAAACAAACTGTGAAAATTAGCAGTTGTTTTAAATTTTAGGTAAACAAGCAGCACAAGTTACTGTTAAATTATGCTCTGCGCCAATTGGCTTCTCATTTTTAGTATTCAGAGTCCTCACTATAATCAATTTTAAGTGGCTGTTCTATATATTGATATGAAATATCATGAACAAGACTACCAGACAGTAGGAGGGGTTCCATAACATAGAAAATAGACTGCACTCTCACAAGAACGTGACAAAGTCTCCAGCATAATAGAGTTGACTCAAATTTGAACCTTCGCACTCATATATAAGTTTGAGCAAATTTTCTCAAATAAAATAAAGCAGGATTAAGTTGCTGTTTGATTGCTGAAGGAAAAAAACTGTTATCATGTAATACTAATTTTTTTACTACTTACTGTGTTTTCTATTAAACTTATAATAGTTATGTGTAGAATTTTTATTTCTTTTAAGCCATCACAGATGCAGGAAAAGTTGGAGATAGACTGGCACAAGATTTCTTCAGAGGAGAATATATGCTGAACAATGCCATTGGTATGTTTAATAGCAAATTCTGAAGCAGTACAGTTTTCACTGATAGTGGCTTTGAATGTAAATTCACTTTCTTTCTTTGCTAATCTGTAAAAGACTGTGGTAACGTAATAGAAGTAGGTTTTGGTGGTTTGTTTGTTTTTTTTTTTTACCAAGTTCAATGCCAGTAGTGTAACATATCTTGTTTTTATACTTTGCATACAGAATTTGTTTAAGCTGTTACGATAGCTACCTTCTACCATCCCATTGTTCTGGGTAGTTGTATTTGTGCTATGGACGAATTAAGTCTTAGATGCAGACAGTGTAGTTCTACACTATCTACTTCAAAGAAGACCTGAGACAAAAATAGGTGCATGGAAAATCATTAATATTCAGCCAGAAAGCAGAAGATCAAATTACTTTAAAGCTTTCCATTTAAATAAACTGCATAAATGACTACTGAAGCTAGGAGTTAACTGCCTTAGTTTATTGCAAAGAACCTAGGAGTACGCGGTCTTAAAATAACAAAGACACTGGGTAAAGTTTATTGGGGTAAAGGATATTTATCCTTTGGGTCAAGAGTTTAATGTTTTGTAGAGAAGAAACTTCTCTGAACATACTTTAATGGCATACAGTTTGTTTTTTAAACGTTGTACCCAGTCTTAGTCACTGCAGGAAGAGAGGTGAACATGTTGCCTATCAACTTACGTTGACAGAAGATCATAGACTTACTAGAGTAAGACTAATACCTGAAGTTATTTTTACTTTGTTTGACAGAGTTTCCAGTTTTAGTAGCATGTTTGTCATGTACCTTTCCTGCCTTCATCATCAAAAATAATATAAGGTTTTAGGTACTTGGGAAAAACTAGTATTATCGTGGCAGTTGGACTAGATGATTGTTTTAGGTCTCTTCCAACTAGCTATTCTAGTCTAGTCAAATATTGCAAGGGTACATACTTTAAAACTTTGGGGTTTGGTTTTTTTTTTTTAATTACTACTGTTCTATGTCTATAATGAATGTAATTACAAAGCCTAGAGTTTTTTGTAACTTTGGTATGAGTTTATTCCGTTAAGATTGAGACTTCTGCCAAAAAATACACAGGGGAGCTGCTTTCACACTTGCTGTTGGAAAGGCACGCTTCTATAGAAATTTAGTACAAAGACTAGCATCTATAGAAACCTAGTTCAAAGACTAGCATCTAGAGCCCATGCATTAGCTTATATGTTCACATAAAAACAAAGTTAAAAATGCAATTCCATTATATTTTCTAACTGCTAATTTGAAGGATTGAACTGCCTTTTAAAAATAGTTCTGTTTTTAAACAAGGATCTATAGTTGCTGCAGAAAAGCTAGCAGTATGATTGCAGCGAATACCCGTATCAGCAATCTGATTGAACTTTAAGTCTGACCCGAGAACACTGAATATGAGGCAGTGATTTCATTCACAGTGAACTTCTGATTCTTTCCATGAATAGTAATCAAAAGCCTCCGAAAGGCCCGAACAGATAAAGTTGATAGATAAAACTGTGGTACTTTAGGGTATTATCATCTCAACCTGCCTGTGCCACATTCAGGGTTGTAACATGAAACAGAATTGGCAAGACAGAACATGTTTGCATTGCACTAGTTTATAGTCACATTTGGGCTGAAACCTACCAATGCACCTGGCTTTGTAGTAAAGTACTGGAGTGCTGGTACACACTCTGTGCTGTTAGTCCCAGCTGTGAGATGGGGTGCGAGGGAAGCTCTTGTGCTCCGATGTCCTACAAAGCTATTTATAATAGCCAGAGGTGGCTGCATTGTCAGGTACTCACATTGCAAACAATCTGACATCTGATGGTTGTGCAATGTTCTCTTACAACACGCAGAATGCAGTCAGCAGTGTTTCTGTTCATTGCTTAAGAATTACATGAAGTACCTCCATTATAAGTTGATATTTTACTGTTTCAGTTACCATGTATTTTATGTTTCTCTTGCTGAAGTAAGACGTGGAGAAATGTGTTATGTGTACACAGTTAGTCACAGATCCACTCTTTTGAAAAAAGTGTACAATTTTTTTTGCAGGCACGTGCAAGAAGCCATATGTGGCACTCATCGATGGCATTACAATGGGAGGGGTAAGTTAAGAACCTTGATGTGATATCTGATACCATTTGTTTTAAAGTAATGTAATATGTACTTGAGTTGAATGAAGTGCACACATGGCACATCAAACATTTCAATTCAAGAGCAAACATCATAATCTGAACCTTTGTCTCTTGCTTGTCAGGGTAGGTTGCTGCTCTTCTAGTGCTTCTGCTGTTCTTTGATAGCTAGTGCAACTGCTTTTTCTGAGGAACTGGCAGTTGTGCTGAGAAACAGAGCAGAATCTTGTCACTGTAGGAAACACACCTCACAAAGGTTTTCAGAATACTAAAGTGTGAGTTTGTAGATCGTACAAGACCTGAGAAGAATTTTGCACTCAACACGTATTAAAAATAGAACTATATAAAAATACATTTAAAGGACAACTTTATGAAAAATTGGAAAAACACTATTCTAAACTATACTTTAACAGACATTCATAACATCAGTTCTGTATTTTTCCAACAAATAATCCGGGAATGCATCTACTTTCCCTCCTTTGCAGTGCTCCTAAACCATGAATTATAAGATCCTGACTCCCCCTTACCCGCCCCCCCCAAGGCTTCACCTTATTACTAAAGCAACATGGAGGAGACTCCAGCATGTTGCTAGTTGTACGCAGTGCTAATAATTGTTTCAGCAATTGTTGGCTCTAAACACCGCAAATAGGTAGTTAAAAGGGCAATACCATGCTTTTCTACATGCTAAAATGCTATTCTCTTCAGTTTGACATCTGTTGGATATATTTGTCTCACAGCAGCAAGTAGAATACAATAATCTTAAGCTATTTTGAACAATGAGTTTGACAGTGAAGTCCATCTGCCATGTTGTCACTTAGATTTATATTGTTTTCTTGCACATCAGTATGATATGGGTGTACAGTCTATTTAAATTAAGCTTGTCAAAGACAGAATGCAAGAAGTGGAATACTGCACGATCCATCACCTGTCATGACTCGTCCCTTTCCATCTTTCCTTACACATTTAATTTTGTCTATTTTGGTCGTGATCTTTTCAGCTGGTGATCTAAACGTGCAATAGCTCTCTTCCCCTTTGCTTCTCTGCTACTAAGCCGCAAAGATCTCAGATAGCCTTTCCCCCCCCCCCCTCTAGTATACAGAAATTGTTTCCAGCATAAAGAGGGACTGGTCTTTTAGCATTTCTTGCAGAAAAAGTTTTTTTATTGAACATAGGGAACCTGAAGATTTTTGGATAAGAGATAGGGAATCCGTTTGTTTTATGGAGTTCTGAATAACAGCAAGGATAGCTATGAAAGAGCAAAACTGCCCAGCAGCTGATGTCTTTTCAGAGGTCCCATAGATTGCTCATTATGATTGTAGCCTAAGCAGAAATAGAATTTTGTCCTTTGAAAGTATTTTTTTGGACTTAAAAGAGCATAATGGAGTCAGCTGATCCTTCATTACTAAGAGTCTTTATTAGTTCCCTTTCTTTTAAAAGACAGCAGTCAGTCTGAAACTTTAGTTGGATACACACATTTTAGCATAGGATACCCAAATTTCAGTGGGACCTTGCCAGAGTTGAACTGCTGTTAGTTTGACAACCTACTTGCTTATCCTCAGTTTGATGATACTAGTAGCAGTTATCTTCATTTGGGGGCAGGCAACCAGATTTTAGTTGAGCAAGTATGTAGCCTTACTTAGGGGAAAAAGCAGGTAGGTCTTAAGTTCCAGGCTACTTTTAAACTTTTTTTTGACCTTGAGTGCTATTTAATTTGCACTTGTTAATACAGCTGCAAGATAATGTCCTTCCTACAGGAGTGCATGTTTTCATCAACACACTTTTTTTTTTTTCCCCCTTCACTTATTTGCTGTACATGGAAGTATCTACTGTTTATTTAACAAAGGTGATCAGCAGTAATATTTCTCAAGACCAGTTAATTTTTGTGGATGTTATTTTGTGTTAATTTTGAGTTGTCTTATATGCCTTTCCTTTTGACCACTCCTCCCCTGTCTGTAAGATTTGTTTTGATTCCTCTAAATGGACCAACGCTTGTGTAGGAAAAGTGCATTAGCTCCCATCTTTCCCTCACCCTCTTCCCTCACCATTTTGAGCACTGGGAGCTCCATCACAACTGACATTAACCAAATTTAAGCCTTGCAGCAGCTGTTTTCTATTGTGGTACAAATTAGGTTCACTGCAGTGGGGTTTTATAGATTAAAACTACTAGAACAGCCCTTGAATTTGTCACGATCATACTGTTATCTTGTTCTGCTTGCTGCATGGAAGTACTCTGTCCTACTGTAATTATTCACTAGAACTGCATTCATTCAAAGGAGTTATTCTGTTAATGGTATAATTAAATGCTTTGTTTTGAATCACTTGGATGCTAGGATCTATGTTTTTGACACAATCACATCATATTTGATCTATTTTATATGCTCAAGGTCTGGCTATCTTAGTCCCTACAAGTGAGTGGGAGCTGGAAACATTTGTTGCTTACAAACCACAATAAATGCCTTTAAAAAAAAAAAATTACATACAAGTCCTTAACTTTAGAAGCAAGTGGTTTTAGCTTGGGCTTAAAAAAATCATGGGATGCCCCTTAAAAACTACAATTTCACTATAGACAATTAACCTATGAATGAAAATGCAAGCAAGTCAATCTCAACCTTGCTCAAAAAAGCAGCAGTACACACATGGAATGCTCTGTTGTTCTAATTTAAAATAAAAATCAAATAGTGTATTAGAAATTCAGTTATGTGCTTAGGTAGTGAACGTTGGTACTGATGCACAGATATCACAGATTTGCAATGGTAAAACTTGGAATTGTATGAAAAAAAATGAACTGGTTCCACTTCAGCATTGCTGGCTAGAGGCTGGTAGATGGCTTTCTTGAGAGCTTAATTAGCCAACAGATGGGGCTGTGGAGCTTGTTTTCTGCACCTTTGTGTGAACTATACTCCTGTAGTTCATAAAAAATTGATATTGAATATAAATTACCTTTTTGTACCTATTCAGAGCAGTAGGTTCAAGTCACAAGTATGTTTGATGAACCAAAGATGACTGTGCTTTACTAAAAAATAGTGAAACAAGTTATAAATACCATGTTTAGTGCTAAAGGGTGTATACTGTTGAAGGGCACACTGGGCACATACTCTCATGTTGCTAAAAACTACCATTCAAATTATTTTAGTTGACTTCTATCCATAGGTCTTTATTTCCTTGAAATGAAATACCTGAACAGTAGACAAGAAATGCAGAGTATTTAAACATACTTTTTAAAATATAGATTATTGTCTGTAATTGAGGTCCTAAACTTTGACTTCTTGGTTCTAAAAAGTCCCAATCTTTTCCTGAGTTCTTTGGAGATGAATGGAAGTTTGCTTTATAAGCTGAGTCCAAATCTATGGTTTTAAATAGGGCTTTGGCACAAAATATGTTACTGTGTCAGATACACTCTCCAACAAACTAAAAGAATTGATAAACCTGTTTCAGAGCTAGATAAAGTACACTAGACAGAGTTGAGTGGTGGCTTTCAGATGATTTGGCTTAGAATTCAAGTAATTTGACAGCAACAAAAAGAAGTACAGGGCATAAACTTTGGAAGTTAATGAGTGTGGCCCAGGTTGCTGGGCTACCTTTATGTAAAGCATACTTAAAACTTCAGCAGCAGCATATTGCCAGAGCAGAAGCACATCATTTTCAGGAGCCAAAGGCCATTGCCTTTAGTTTAGGGAGGAATCTGCAACAGCATGTACAGAGTACCCTCTTCTGAGTGTCGTATTCTAGAGCATGCATGATTTGGAAGCTTCCTGAGGTAGGCTTTATTTCAGAAACACAGTGCCAAATAACCATCAGTAATCATACTCACCTCCCTATTCATCTGGTATTTTTTGACATTAAGTAGACTTGATCTTCAGAAAGGCCTGTAGCAATCAGTTTCACAGTTGAACTTTGTGCTTTGTGAAAAGCAATTTGCTGCTGTTTCAGGCCTATTATTATCCAATATTATTGAATGCTTATGTGTTTAATTGTTAATAAGGCCAAAACAGGCTCTAAAATATTTTTTTTTAATGGATGAGTAAAGACTATTGCTCAAATGTAGGAATTCTTGACTTTGGACAATTAAATACAGGATTTAATCCTTTAGTCTGACCTCTTACACAGTGTATTTGCTAAGTTTATTTTAACAAGTTACAGATTTACAGATTTGTAAAAGTTATGCCATTATGTTACACTTCTTCCTTTAACAATTAATGCTTTCACTTGTAGGATGAGAAAACATCTTCCTGTGGAACAAGTAAATTTTAGCTTAATATGGTAACGTGCAACATAGTACAGAAATGGAATTTGGTAGAGTTGCCAGCTCTCTTAAATCCTTTGCAAAGCCTTGTGCTTTGAGTTATTCTGAAAATCTTACTTTCTAAGCTTCATGTTTAGGAAGAGTAATAGGAAGTTGGAACTTTAACATAGCTCACAATTTAAAGAGATAAAGGTCACCCAACCTTATTTCCATCCCTGACTCCCTCGGATTCTAGGGCCCAGTCTGCAAGAGTGATAGCAGTACGCATTACTGACTGCTCTGTTCTCTTCTCAGTAGAGGGGGACCTTGCATACACAGACTGTAAATACGAGAAGACAACCTTTTAATTGGGTCTTTGGGTTCATGTGCCAATTTCCATTAGTTTGGTCAACACACAAGCAGTACCATTGTTTTTAGGCAAGGGCTTTTACTTAAATTGAGAGTCTACGTCTAAGTTATTTACATAGAATAACATTAAGGTGACTTAAAGAGTAGAATTTTTTAAAGTACTGTTTGAGTTGGTGTTAGTCACTCAGGTAGTAATGTCAGATATGTTAAGCTCTAGACTATACAGAAGTACAGAGCTAAGAGGAGCCTCAGGCTTATTCTTTTGCACTTGAAAGAGGGTTAAATATAGCTACTTGATTGCTTAGCAGATTTTTGCCTAATGCGTTCAGAACTCTCTAACA